ACGTCTCTACGTCTACTCTCTCTCTCTCTCTCTCTCTCTCTCTCTCTCTCTCTCTCTCTCTCTCGTAACCACATTCAGCCACACCATTGGAAATATTTCTCTGCTATAGCCAGCTTCGTTTATCGTAAAGTGAAGTGAAGTGAAGTACATACAGGCTTCATCGTTTAAAAATAAATAGCTTATAATGTGCTGTAAAATATAATGCAGCACTGACATATCACCGCTAGTAACCGGCATCGGGTTTCTTCACATGCAACTATTAAACTATTAACTACTAAAGGTCTATTAGTAGCATAATATAGTAACACTTGCTAATATCTGTATAATTATCCTTACCTGAAGTCGGCGTGAGACCAGTTAGAAGCGACTGAGCTGCACTGAGGGCTGACGATGTTTGTTCGACATGACTCTTTACGCTTATATATACGTTTGCCGATACACTTGGCACAGATCTTTCTGTCCATCGCGGTCGTCATTATTCGACCGCATCTGCATGACTTTCACAAAAACAGCGAATGGCCCGTCGTGCCGGCGTACAAAGATGCCTTCATTAAATCAGGCCATCGCAGATCAGGGCATTTGCCTGCGCGTATCGTAGACTGTCACCGGCGTCGTCGCCGGATGATTAGTGCGGTTGTAAACTAGGCTACCATGGTTTCATTCTAACGCATCGATTTCGCTTCGTTCGTCACTTGTTAAGGAACGACGTCGGGGGACAGTCTACGTGGTGTACGTTCATTAATTCGCACGGGGCGCCGTTTACAGCCTCTTATCGTTGCACGCCGGACGCGCATTCAGACTTTCTCTCATTATACGTATTAAAGTCACTACAAAGACTTCACTTTCATTAGGTACACTCTGATCTACTTTCAGAAACAATGCTGGCGATGTGTATTGTTTCTGAGTCTCTCTCTCGCTCTCTGTCTTTCCCTCCCCCTCTCTCTCTCTGGCGCTGGCTCGATCTGTGCGTGTGCGTGTGCGTGTGCGTGTNATTAACCTAACCCTAGACATACTCATACAAAAATATAAGCATAATACTTAACAACCTAAAACTACGCTCGGTACATACTGTAGTACCTGTTAGCGAACAACTGACCTTCGTGCTATATTTTCTATGATACTGTTAATTAGTGCTCATAAGGGTCCTAATGTCCCCCAGGGTAACTTGCCGGGACGTACCCTGGTATGGTCCGGTATAGCGCGGAACGTACCCTGGTTACTCTTTTGATATGGTTTAAGGGGTTAGGATTAGGGTTCAAGGTTAGGGTTTAGGGAGTAGGCGTAGGCGACTATCGCTAGTACTCGTTAGTGGAGTAGCAAAGGTAGCGGTCCGGCATATTAGATAGGTACTAGGTTATAGGTTCCGGCAGTACGCGCCGTCTGCCCCGGGCGGGCATAGACGCACTCTCATCGTTATTAGTCCATGGTAGGTTGCGAGAGGTACGACTCAGGCATAAATATTTCTCTAGCCAATAATGGTCATGTTCCACTCGAGGATATTTCGTGTCTCTTTATTAAATAGCCAACAACTAATGTTTATTATACTACTGCGTAACATGATCATAAATCATGATTCTACAATACTTCATCGTGTAACTTTCCCCCCGTGTGTCAGTGAGCACACACACGCTTGTTTTATATAGAATGTGGACTTAATTGGAACGTTGCGTGACGTCACAATGCATGCTTAATTGTTTGACGTCAGACTATGAACTAATATGCGGGAAATACGTTTGTACGAGACTAAACATGTAAATATATATATGGAGTTTAACATGATTCTATGATTTTCCGTAGCCGGCTGCAAATGCACAACTGCAAATGCGGCGACAACTGCAAGTGCGCGACAAGTGCAACTGTGGTGACAATTGCAACTGTGGTGACAATTGCAACTGTGGTGACACGTGCGCTTGCAACAAGGGCTGCAAATGCAAAGACTGCAAATGCGACCCTTGCACCTGTGGAACCAAGTGTAATGCACAGGTAGTGTATAAAGCGATACAGTGTAGCAATCTGCTAATAGATTCAGACGCGAGATGGCGCTCGCGTAGCGATAGTGGTAGAGCTCAGTGGTAGAGCCGTTTGATCAATTATCTCTCTTGTCTATTACACAGAATTAAGAGCTAATAACACGTGTTTATTAGCTCTTGACTGAATTAATATTGACGTCCGTCCCGTGTAACATATTTCAACATAGTTTGTTCTGTTCAGTTGCAAGTGTCCCAACTGCAAGTGCGGCGATAATGCAGCTGTGGAGTATGGTTGCGAGTGGGCAGTGGAGGCAAGTGCAAGTGGGCAATCCTTGTAAATAGCAATCCGTGCAGCTGCGGCTAACGTACATTTCGTGTTGCCAAGGTACGTTTTTATGTCTGCAATTCGATATCCATCGTGGTATATATTTTGATTTGTTTTACTTTTTTTGTCAACCCTAAGACAGATATCTTTCATCACTCATGAATCTCGTAACTAGAACTTTGTGTCATTCTCGTAGAGCAATTTAATGCGAAAGTAAACACTCTATATATATATATATTTATATTATCGTAGAATGCCTAACTCCATTGATAATTTATTATATGTTTGTGTCATTCTCGTAGACCGAATTATTTGTGTTTTCCTTTGCAGTAAATGAAGTCGCTCTAGCGACATAACAGGTAGTGCTCAAGGCATGGCCAACGTTTTACAGACGCGAAGAGATTGGCGAGCACGTGGCGCGCAGCAGAGGGCTGCATAATGGGTATTGCTTATATTCTTTGTTATTGCTTGTATTCTTGTAACGTCATTAACCTAGGCCGTCTAGGCATACTCGTCGGTTTTGTTTCTATATATTAATTATAATTATTTACATCGTTGATTTTTGTTATTTATACGTCAGTTAGACGCATACCCTTAGTTTGTACGAAAATATGCTTAAACTTTAGCAATGGTAGTGGATGTTTATAAAAATGTCTGTCAACTGCTCATAGCACCGCACTATTTCAATAAAAAACCCTTTTCTATGAAATAAATGTTTGTCTTGTTTATGTGCACGCAAAATTCATAACAATGTGCGCGTAGTTCTAAAGAATTCAGATCCGGTAAGCTACTATCTATATATATATATATATATATATATATGATACTAATATATAATTATATCCGTCATTTTTTTTAGACCGTATATGAGCCAAAAGAATACAACATTTTGGTTTCGTAAAACCATATGCAATTCGATGATCAATTTGCGGTTTGTTAAGCTTAAATTTGTTTCAAACAGCACAGATCGGCCAATTAAGTCAGTCGTATTAGTTAAATGCAACGGGAAATCTGAATACGGATAATTATGATGATTTTAGTTGTCGTAACGTACATTTGATCTATTTTTGCAGTAGAGTTACTATCACAAAAACTTCTCGTCGTAGGGTTTCGATCATTCTACTGACTTACTTGCTGGCGCGATCACACTACACACATCACCCGATATCGATTCAAGCCGCTCATTGGCGGGAGGGCAGTGTCGCTTGTAAGCGGTCGTTACGGACGCAGGCAAGGCTAATCGATTCCCATTGTGAACCTTTATATTTTCGGGGTTTGATGCTATTTTACTTGCGTGAAATGTAAGAGCTTTCCGGCTTCCCGCGACTGGGTCGCTGTCACAGATTGAACGGTTTGTTTGGCGATTTGTGGCCAAAGCAATTGCCGCCATGGAAATTAATCCAGCATGGGGTTGCTCGATGTCAGCGAGCGTGCACACAAGAATATACCAAAAGGTTTATTGGTTTATTAAGTCGCGTGGCTTTGTGCTGGCAGCTTCAAAAGGTTTAATCCGTTACTAAAGACGTTATATTTACGGTTACCGTTTAACGTGCGTGCGTTTGCGTTAGTGCGCTCGTGCGTTCGTGCGTGCGGTGCGTGCCGTGCTGTGTTGTGTTTCTCTCTCTCTTCTGCTTTCTCGGCTGAGTCGTCGCTCTCGTGGTGGCGTCGCTCTCTCCTTCTCTCTCGCGCTGCGAGCTTTTCTGGCCTGCTCTCCCTCGACTCTCTCTCGGTGTTCTCTCTCTCTCATCTCTCGCTCCCTTTCTCTCTGCTAATGTTGATGCAGCAATGTTGATGCATGTTCTCTCTGCGAATTGTTGAATGCAGAGTATTGAACGCCGAAATCGAAACGCAAGTTAAACATTTCATGTATAAATATATTATAGCGCAATTACTCCACAGAGAATACTGGCTATCTGTGATTGCGCATTGGCGTTTGCCAAATAGGTCAGCTGATTGCCAAAATATTTCTACTTATTCATATAGTCAGCTGTTTGCATTTCGGAAGGGGGGGCTGCATTTCGTTGCTATATGTTAAAATGGCTAAGGTGGCACCGCATTAATATCGTTAGGATATCAAAACAAAAGTTACTTACTTGTAAATTATAATTACCAATTTTTTAGCACCACTACTCAATACATTGAATCCGAACCAATTGGTACTCATGCGGCGGCAGTCATTCTGGAGCACAAATAATGGGCTTTGAAACAAAATCATTAGATCTCGGCAGTGAGTAGAACTATCGAATGAACATCTCAGTATACTCGATGAAGATTTCATGTACGTTACTTATTAAATGTTAAACAGTTCATAATATAAGACGTTCATTGGAAATGTGGAAAACGTACGAAATAAACACGATTTTCTACACGCGAATCATTTATCGATGGCATGATTAAGATTTATTTTCTGCTCCGTGTTGCGATTCGTTCAGAAGTCGCCTCAACTTTGCCGCACGGAGCATTTGGTGCGACTTGCCAGGAATGCGCCTTGGCAAACCTTTACTGGCGCAGTCGGCAGCTACGCTGCACAGTTGCAGTCGGAGCAGCACTTGCAGTCGCAACTTGCACTGGAAACACACGAGTAATTAATGTTAGATAGGTTGCACCACGGGGGGTATTAGATTCAGCGGTATTATTGTTGAACGCATTTATTCTGTTGTAAAACTCAACACGCTATATCGACGTGACACGCGTTAAAATTCGCCTCAACAAGCGGCATCTCGCGTGAGAATTTTGTGTGCGAAATCGTGCTTCGCGATAACCTACCATTGTGCGCTTGCACGGAGGCTGCTGGCCGCCGGTGGGCAGGTTGCGCAGGCTTGGCAGTCTGTACATTTTGCAGCCCTTGGCGCATTCGCAGTTGTCGCTTGCAGTTGCACTGGTCACCGCATTTGCAGTGTGACGCAGTTGCAGTAAGCTGTGGGAACAAGTAAGGAAAACATGTGACACAACTGCCCGTGATTGCGGCGGGAATACGAAATGACGCAGACATACATCGCGGTTCGATCGCCGCGATATGTTTCGGCCGGCGTAATGAACGCAAGTGAAAATCTAAACTATAGAGAGAAAGCGAAGCGTTGCTAGCTCCGTTTAGCGAAAAGCTACTTATGCAAAACGCAATGCAGCCCAGCCATAAAAGCGCGCATATATAACTGCGATACAAGAATAACGTATTGAATATAAGCGGCGAGAAATTATAACGGTCGTTTCAGATGAAGATTGAAATACATGACGATACTCACAGCTGCCGCCAGCAGCTTTCGCCTGTGAATCAGGCCAATAGTAACGTTTGAGTGTTTCTTCTTCTGCAGTGGCGTAGCGATCGCTAGAAATATCTGGGCCTGCTCGATGATTGGCTGGCAACTAAAGCCGCGGCCGCGCTTGCTTATTATACGGCCTCGGCTGGCAAGTGGCCGTTGTGCAAAATGGGCGAGCAGTTGCCTCTGCGGCCGGAGGGATCCGAGCAATATTGAAATTGCCATGTTGCGCGCAAACATTCGCATGGCAGATGAGGTTATACTGCGGCCACGCGGTGCACGACGTGATTACTTGCCATACTTAGCGTGGTGAAGAGAAGGTCAGCCCGCGGGTACAGCACTGCAAGCTAGTAGATCGAGCTGTTGGTAGGCAAATTATTGGCGAATCACAACGGTGTCGTTGGCAGTTTATACGCATGAGGAGCAAGGACAGCGGCGTGATAGACGGTGTGTGAGCATGCCCGTGCGGCGGTTCTGACTATGTACTGACAGTTATGCGCCTGGCATACATTTACTTGTTGTTTTGCACGCATCTTTAAGCATTTTCGTGAAAATAAAATGTTGTTTGCCTGCGCAGTTTGCCGTGCAACGGGATTTTCTTGGCCAGCAAACTGACATCTCTTCTCTCTCTCATCTCTCTCTCTCGTTCTGCTCTCGTCAGGTCTGCTCTCTCTCTCTCCTCTCCTCTATCCTCCTCCTCTCTTCTCTCATCTCTCTCTTTTCTCCTGCTGCCTCTCTACCTCCGTCTCTCTTCTCGTCTGCTCTGCTCTCTCTTATATATATATATTTTGTTTTTGTTTTTGTTTTTTTAACAATAAATATATACATAGCTATATATATAATTATATATTATATATACATATATATATATATAATATTAGGACACAAAATTTAGACAGAAAACAATAATCCAGACCGTTTCAATAGCGCAAATCAAGATGTTTTTAGAGATCATACAACGCAATCTATAGCTACCTGTTTATTAATTTATCTTTAATATCGTGTTGAATTTATTTAGATACATGAAATCCTCTCTTCTGAGGAAATACATGACGATATATATTTACTTCTTAAGGCCCCGCACGCTAGAGCAATATTGCTCGCGAGTCCGTCCGCGAGTCCGATCGCTTAACCTATATTGCTCTAGTGTGGGGGGGCCTACGGTCGACTCATTCACATACGCTGTGATTTGGATAAAGGAAGTTATACCATGGAGCGGTAAAGATAACTCAGCTCACTGAACGTTTACTAGAGCATTTGGTGTCGAAATGTGTCACGTATAATTTGTTTATATCATGGCAACATTACGAGCTAACTCAATAAATTCAACGCAAATATACATACATGCATATACAATCAGGAGTAGATAATAGGGAACCACCCCTATTATCTATTATCCCTATTATCTATACTCTGATATATATACTGTCTATGGCGGTCGTGCGATTGTTTTGCGTTCATAAAAATAAATAAAATAATAATAAATAATAATAAAGGAGTCAATTTGGTCGTATTATTGTGATGTAAATGTGAATTTCTGGCTAGCCGGTTAAAGCGATCGGACTCGCGACCAATATTGCTCTAGGGTGCGGGGGCATTTTACTGCGCCAAACGGCTCGCGAGTCCGCTTGCTCACACATATCAAACCTGTTTGATATTTTTACGGCAGCTTAGCTATATTGCCCGAGTGTGCGGGGAACACCACTCGCAAACCATATTGCTCGCGAGACCGATTGCTTGCTCTAGCGTGCGGGGCCTTAAGAAGTAAATATATATCGTCATGTATTTTCTCAGAAGAGAGGATTTATGTATCTAAATAACTTGAACACGTTATTACAGATAATATATTATATATATATATATATATATATATATATATATATATAATGGCGATTAACAAATTCTCTTTCTTTCTGCTTCCTATGAAATAAATAAATAAATATATATATATATATATATATATATATATATATAATATATAATATATATATATATATATATATATATATATGTTGGTATATAGAGAGTAGAGAGAGACGAGAGAGAGCGAAGAGAGAGTGCAAAGAGAGAGTGAAGAGAGAGTGAAAGAGAGAGAGAGAGAGAGAGAGAGAGAGAGAGATTGTCAGTTTGTGGCAAGAAAATCGTTGACGCCAAACGGCGAGGCAAACACATTTTATTTTTCCAAGAAAATGTAATAGATGTGCAAAGCACAAGTAAATGTAAGCGCAGGCGATAACTAGTACTAGTCAGATACCGCCGCACGGGAATGCTGCAACACAGCGTTATGGCTACGCGCGTCGCATTGTCCTCAAACTATAAACTGCGCTACGACATCCGCAGATGCGATTTATGCGCATATTTTTGCCGTAGCAGACAGCGCGATCTAGCTAGCTTGCCAGTGCGTACGCCGCGGCTGACGCTTTCTCTTCAGCACGGTAAGTATGGCAAGTAATCAACTGTGGGCGCTGTGATCACGTGGTGCACCGGCGGTGGGACGCAGTAACCTCAATCTGATGGCATGTTTACGCGGCAACTTGGCAATTTCAATATTTGCTACGGGCCCCCGGTGGGAAGGCAAGCTGGCGCAGCTTTTTGCATCACGGCACTTGCCAGACCGAGGGCGTATATAAGGCAAGCGCGCGACTAGTTGCCAGTTCATCGAGCAGGCAGAATATTCTACGATCGCGTAGGCGCAGGAGAAGAAGAAACAACTCCAAACGTTAACTATGGCTGATTCACAGGGAAAGTGCTGCGAGGCTGGTGAGTATCCGTTGCATGTATTTCAATCTTCATCTGAACGGACCGTTTTCTGCGGTTACATCTCTTCATAGTTATTCTGTATGCGCAGTTATAGTATGCGGTTTTATGGCGGGTGGCATGCGTTTTGCATAAGTAGGCTTTGTAAACGGGAGGCTAGTCAAACGTTCGTTCTCTGTATGTTTAGATTTTCACTTGCGTTCATTACGCGGCCGAAACGATATCGCCTGGGATTCGAAACCCGCGAATGTTGTCGTCATCGTATTCCCGCGGCAATCACGGTGTGTCACATGTTTTCTCTTGTTCCCATAGCTAACTGCAACTGCGTCAACTGCAAATGCGGTGACCAGTGCAACTGCAAGGACAACTGCGAATGCGCCAAGGGCTGCAAATGTACAGACTGCAAGTGCAACCCTTGCACCTGCGGCAGCAGGTGCAGCGACAAGGTAGGTTATCGGAGCACGATTTCGACACAAATTCTCACGCGAGATGGCGCTTGCGAGGCGAATTTTAACGCGTGTCACGTCGATATAGCGTGTTGAGTTTACAACCAGAATAAATGCGTTCAACAATAATACCGCTGATTCTATCCTCCCGTGTGCAACATTCTAACATAATTACTCGTGTGTTTCCAGTGCAAGTGTGCCGACTGCAAGTGCGGCTCCGACTGCAACTGTGCAGGTAGCTGCGACTGCAGTAAAGGTTGCAAGTGCGATCCTTGCAAGTGCACCAAATGCACCTGCGGCAAGTGAGGCGACTTCTGAACGAATCGCAACCACGGAGCAGAAAATAAATCTATAAATCATGCATCGATAAATGATTCGCGTGTAGAAAATCGTGTTTATCTCGTACGTTTTCAATTTCCATGAACGTCTTATGTTATGAATGTACATTAATAACGTAACGTACATGAAATCTTATCGAGTATACTGAGATGTTCATTCGACGTTCTACTAACTGCGAGATCTAATGATTTGTTTTCAAAGCCATTATTTGTGCAGAATACTGCCGCGCATGAGTACAATGGTTGTATTCAATGTATTGAGTAGTGTAAATAAATTGTTGTAATTATAATTTTACAAGTAATGTACTTTGTTTGATATCCTAACGATTATGGTGCCACCTTAGATTTTAACAATAGCAACGAAATCGAGCCCCCCTTCCGAAATGAAACACTGACTATATGAAATAGTAGAAATAACATTTCAGTGAAATATTTGGCAATCACTGACCTATGGCGAACCGATAGCAATCACAGATAGAGTATTCTCTGTGGAGTAATTGGCTATAATATATTTATACATGAAATGTTTACTGTATGGTAGAATAAATCCATCCATTTCTGCGTTCAATCTCTGCATCAGCAATTCGAATTACATAGAGAGAGAGAGAGAGAGAGAGAGAGAGATCATGATAGATGATACATATGTACGAGAGAGAGGAAGAGAAGACGATGATAGGGAAGAGAATCTGGGAGAGAAGAAGAGAAGAGAGCAGGGGATCACTGTGCGAGAGGAGACGCGACGAGAGAGAAGAGAGAGGAGAAGAGAAAGACAACCACACACACGCCACGCGAGCACACACACGACACACATCACGTATCATTACACACACACACACACACACACACACACACACACACACACACACACACACAACACACACACGCGCGCGCGTGCACGCACGCACGCACACGCACGCACGCACGCACGTTAAACGTAACGTAATGTAACGTCTCTAGTAACAGATTAAACCTTTTGAAGTGCCACACAAAGCCACGTCACTTAATAAACCAATAAACCTTTGGTCTATTTTGGTGCGCTCGTGACATCGAGAACGCTTTGGGGAATGCTTTGGCCAATCGAAACAAAACCCGTTCATTTTTGACAGCGGCAGCCGCGGCAGGGAAAGCTCTATTTCACGCAGTAAAATAGCATCAATACCCCGAAAATATAAGGTTCACAATGTTATGAATCTTGCGTGCACATAAACGAGACAAACATTTATTTCATAGAAAAGGGTTTTTATTGAAATAGTGGGTGTATGAGAGTCGACAGTCATTTATAAAAACATCCACTACATGTAAAGTTTAAGCATATTTTCGTCAAATAAGGGTATTGCGTCTAGCTGGACGTTAATAACATAATCAATATGTGAATAATTATAATTCATAATAGAAACAAAACCGACGAGTAGGCCTAGACGGCCTAGGTAATGACGTTACAAGAATACAAGAATACAAGAATATAAGAATCCCATTACGCAGCCTCTGTGCGCGCACGTGTCGCCATCTCTTGGTCGTAATCGTTGGCATGCTGGCACTACCTTTATGTCGTGAAGACTTTCATTTACTGCAAAAGATATAATAAAATTGCAATTAAATTGTCTAGAGAATGACACAAAGATATAATAGATGTATCAATAATATGTTAGGCTTTCTACGATATATATATATGAGTGTTTCTTTCCATTAAATTGTCTAGAGAATGACACAAAGTCTAGTTACGAGATTCATGAACGATGAGATATCTGTTTTGGGTCACAGTGGTAGAGCCGTTTTTATCAATGATCTCTCTTGTCTATTTACACTGAATTAATATTGACGTCTGTCCCGTGTAACATATTTCAACATAATTTGTTCTGTTTCAGTGGAAGTGTCCCAACTGCAAGTGTGGCGATAAATGCAGCTGTGGAGATGGCTGCGAGTGCAGTGGAGGTAAATGCAAGTGTAATCCTTGTAAATGCAATCCGTGCAGCTGCGGCAACACATCGTGTTGCAAGGTACGTTTTTATGTCTGCAATTCGATATCCATCGTGGTATATATTTTGCTTCGTTTTACTTTTTTGTAACCCAAGACAGATATTTCATCGCTCATGAATCTCGTAACTAGACTTTGTGTCATTCTCTAGACAATTTAATGGAAAGAAACACTCATATATATATATATATATCGTAGAATGCCTAACATACCATTGATACATTTCTTATATCTTTGTGTCATTCTCTAGACAATTATTTGTGTTTTCTTTTGCAGTAAATGAAAGTCTTCACGACATAAAGGTAGTGCCAGCATGCCAACGATTACGACCAAGAGATGGCGACACGTGCGCGCACAGAGGCTGCTTAATGGGATTCTTGTATTCTTGTATTCTTGTATTCCTGTATTCTTATATTCTTGTATTCTTGTAACGTCATTACCTAGGCCGTCTAGGCCTACTCGTCGGTTTTGTTTCTAATATTAATTATAATTATTTACATATTGATTTTGTTATTTATACGTCCAGTTAGACGCAATACCCTTATTTGACGAAAATATGCTTAAACTTTACATGTAGTGGATGTTTATAAAAATGACTGTCGACTCTCAGACACCCACTATTTCAATAAAAACCCTTTTCTATGAAATGAATGTTTGTCTCGTTTATGTGCACGATTATTGTAACGGTCGTTACGACCAGCACGGGTGATCGATTCCATTGTGAACCTTGTATTTTTGTGGTATTGATGCTATCTTACTGCGTGAAATTGAGCTTTTCCTCCCGCGGCTGCCGCTGTCAAAAATAAACGGGTTTTGTTTCGATTGGCCAAAGCATTCCCACGGAAATTAATCAGCATTGGGTTCTCGATGTCAGGTGGCTTTCTATCGCCGGCTTTGAACTGTCTGTAAATGTTTAACGAGCGCACCAAATTAGACCAAAAGTTTATTGGTTTATTAAGTCGCGTGGCTTTGTGTGGCATTTCAAAAGGTTTAATCCGTTACTAAAGACGTTACCTTGCGTAACCTTTACGTTTAACTAAGATAGTCACGTTGGAATATAAAGCACTCTGCATTCATCCACGTGTCTATTAGCGATGAACCTCAGCGGAGTAATTAATACGTGTAACCAGGTCAGGTGAGAGACCTGCATTTCAGAAGGGGATTTGGCTTACGCGAACCGAACTGATACGAAACCACCCCTATACCTAGTTTTCACTGCAGCCACCCGTTTAATAGAAAAGTTCGCATAGAATGTCGTGTTCTTGTACTTCACTCGTTTATTCGTGTAGCGAATGTAACAAAACGCATACATTACATATATGGTTTCCATGTTGTCAATAATATCACTTCATATCATACGGTGATTGAAACATTAATTAACAACGATTACATATAAACATACTTATATATCACGCATACATGTCACTCACGAGCGATGTCAGACTGGGATTATAGTACATATCATAACGCGACAATAAGCAATTGTAACATTTATAAGGCCATACTGTGTGAAATAAAAGATTAAAATACTTGTGCTACTTTCTCGCAATAATAAACGCTATTTGACACCTAGACAAAAAAATATATACACACATTATGTGTTCACGTATCACATTCCGTTTCTCTCGTATACATGCGCTTCGGTACTCATTGATTCGTCGTGAAAAGACCACGCGTTCGCGTTGGGTTGCGAACTCGCACACCTAATCTGTGCACAATTGGACATTAGCCCGCCAAACTGCTGGCCGTATCTACTAACCTATATTTTTGGTGGTGGATTACGGTGATGAGTCGTGCTCGTTGCACCTTTTCAACTGGATAAATGAACTGCGGCGGCTCGCAGTTCGTCATCGCTTGTATAGTTTTGCTTATTAAAGGGGACTGTTGAGCTTTTGCTCGATGGTGTTGCTCTACTGAAGCGTCAACGTTTATTGACGAACGAATCGAATCAATCACACGTTTTAATTTATAGATGACATGTATCTCTATGCTCAAGCCGAAAAAATTCATGAAATTTCCAGCACCTAATTATGTGACAACACAAACTTTGAATTTTGATGTAAAGACGGTACTTTTCAATTATTCCGAGTTGTAATGACAGAGAAATATGCTTTTACACATCGGCTAGTGTAGCAAAAATCGAAACGGAAAAATCGGCGTTTTTCTACTTTTCACAATGATCGATTGTCCGCGTGCGAAATGAGTCACGGAAACATCTACTGTTAGTTCTTATTTCGACATATTCATGACTAACTGAAAGCACTAAATTGGTAAATTGTTATATGCACTTGTATCTCTAATTTCATACGCCAACGCGTGGTCTCTCTGTCGGTTTCAAACGGGGAGGAATATCTAGGACATGTGTTTAATGACGGTTCCCGTTGTTACCGTAACTGGAACCGTAGCCACCGTTGCCGCCATAGCTGTCACCCGTGTAGCCGTATCTGTCGTTTCCGCCACTTCCGTAGCTGTTGTCGTAACCGTTGCTTCCGCCGTAGCTGGGTTGCTCGTAGCTCTGCTGGTCGGTGCCGTAGCTTGGCCTATGCTGCTCGTACGCATCCTCGTATCCGATGATAGGTCCGGTCTCGCTGTACTTATACAGCGTCTTTGGCTGGGCGTATTTGTGTCCCTCTCTGTGTAAGCGGTAAATAACATTATGATTACATTGATGATTAGAATGAGCACTCTCTGTATGAAAGACTATATAATATATACATATATATATTGTATATATATTTAGACATATATATATATAAGCCCCTATATATATATATATATATATAGTTGTTTTGTGGATTATAATCGTGATTTCGATTATTCAATAACCCGTTACACGCGGCACAATGGCCCGCTTAACACAGGGTCCAACAACAGCAGTATTATAGCAGTTATTGTAGTAGTAGTAGTAGTAGTAGTAGTAGTAGTAGTAGTAGTAGTAGTAGTAGTAGTAGTAGTAGTAGTAGTAGTAGTAGTAGTAGTAGTAGTAGTAGTAGTAGTAGTAGTACACAC